TCATAAAGTTGAAACACATTTCACTGAATGCAGGTTTTCCAAGTTCCTGGATTGTAATTCTTGCTTTTGCAGTGCTGCCGCAGAGATGTAACTGTGTAGCTGGAAATTGAGTGTACTACAAAACAAATTTTTGAAAAAGGAACTGCTATTTTTATAAGTTGCTATTCTTTCCGATATAATTGAGAGTTGATGAGCATGTGACAATGCTTAGCCCACACGTCAACATCAAAGCACCTTGAATTGTGTATTTTTAGGAACTTACGAAAAAGTTGAAGACGAAGAGGAGGAGGTCTACGAAACTGTCAATATATTCAAGCTCAAACAGTTCTTGCCAAATCTTCGTGTCGTAAACTTTTGGGGGGTACGGTAGCTTTCATTCAACTCTCCATTTCACAACAATTTGATGCTACCTTTCAGTTGTAAATCCGAAACCGAAAAATTCCGGCGTTTTAGTTTTTTGATAATCAACCTCATTAGGCTAATCCTTTGCTTCTAGGTGCCCTTTATCACAGACGAACATGTGGATGCAATATCATCAAATTGTGCTCATTTAGAATGTCTTTGCGTTAACTACTGCACAAAGGTGAGCAAGGCTTTGAGGCTAAATTTGAGTTCATTGAAACCATATGCATATCGGAGGCCTACATCTGGAACTAATCATTGTAGTAAAACTCGTTTAGCAACACCTGCAAATTTCGCATAAAAAATCAATAAAAGGAAAGTCTTCATTTAAAAAATTTCAAAAAACTTCTGTCATTCTTGCCAAAGTGTCATACTTATCCCATGCCACTTTGTCAGGGAATTAGACGTAATCTATTTTCATGTCAGTGACAAACAACCATTGCTTTCTTCCTTTTCCCACTAGTCTGTCAAAGATATCATGAATTTTGTGTTTGCAATATTTTCATATATTGTGTCTATGCATTATCAAATGAGTTTCAAAGAATAATTGTAAGCTTCAGGTAACCGGTTCTTGCTTGAAGCTGGTGCTGCAAAGGTGCCGCAAGCTCAAAAGTCTTTTCTTGGCCCACACGAGTAGGTTTTTTTGTACACTGTCAGATATTTTTAGATGAAGCGTTATAAGAAGTAAAAAGTATATTTGGTGGAATATGATTTCCATATCCTCGCTTTACGATCTCACAAATATTTGCAGGTCTTGATAATGCTACGATAAAAGCTGTAGAATGGGAAAAAACGAGAATTGAAGAGTTGGACGTTAAAGGGACTGAACTTTTAACGGACACCTTGATTTCCCTGCTTACTCGACTTCCATATCTGCGATGGTTAGATGCGAGTTGGCTGGAGAACATGACTGATCAGGTGCTTATTCCTTTTGCTACTTCTAATAATTTACTTAACTAGATTTTCACAGGTGTTGGAAGCATGGTTACAATCAGGTGCTTTGGGAAATCTGCAGTTTATCAATTTGGATACATGTGACTCGCTTAATGAAGGAGCGCTGACTGAGATGATCGTTCGTCATGGATCACAGTTACAAGGCTTATGTCTAGGAGGACAACACAAACTACTCGAGTATTTTTGGATGAATATGATACCACAGCTTAAAAACATCAGGTATTTCTGCGCTACTTAAAACATTTGAGGCAGCCTTTGAAACATTTTTTCATTCAGGGTAATCGTAATGGGCATCGCAGAAGACTGTTGTGCAAAAGTGGCTGCGAAAATCCATGTTGATCAATTCATCGACTGCATTGCACAGAATTGTCCTTTATTGACTCGACTAGAGATTCGCTGGGATGACGATACACTCAGGTTTTCGGACAAGTCCAGGTAAGTTAGCAGGCAATTTTTACTTAGAATGCAGTAAACGAATATTA